TCCACCAACTTTCTTGTCCAGTTCATTATCATCCAAAATACCCTCCAGGTTCGTCAACGTCTCGATATTTTCACCTATCTGAATTGGATTTTCAGAAGCCAAGAGTATGAAGACATTACTTTAAAATTTTGATACTTTGTTTGAATGTGTTGATAACAAAAAAAATATAATAATAATAATAAATATTTTAAAAAAGAAAGGTAGACGTGCTCATTTTATTACTTAAATAAATAAATAGTTTTATAATAATTTTCATTCTAAAATTTTAAACATTCTTTTAATTGTATCATTGGGTACCTAAGAACATTTAAAACAATTCTCGTTTTAACTTTTTCTGGCTCTTTGTCACTCAAAACTTGCATTCATGCTTGAGAACCCTTGAAAATGAATCATCTGTATTCAGCCAAATGCTTGACTAGAGAACAATGTATACTGCACCACTGAAATCAACTGATGTAAATGTGCGTTTTCGTAAGTCAGACTTTGTTAGGAACTGGACATAAGTCCTTGCATTTTTTTGCATTTCCGTGTACCACCTGGAACAGCGTAATCTATCGCTACTGTGGTGTATGTTTATACACATACATGTATATAGTTTTGTGTGGGGGTGGGGGCATCTCCCCAGATGTACAGCTACACCGGGGTAATCAATTCAAAGTCTGCCCTTGCGGGTCTCTTGGCATAGTGGGTCTCTCATTTATTCTATGACCAGACACAAGGCGAGATATCACGAGCCACCCAAACAGGTTTTGTAACATGTCGGAAAAAGATTTGTGTGTGTGTGTTTTGTTTTTTTTCTTGTTGTAAAGGTTCCTCAGAAGTGCTGCTATTCTGGGGTAGTCCGTCTTCAAAGTCTGCCCTTGTGGGTCTTTTAACCTTGTGGGTCTCATGGCCTTGCGGCTCTCTTGTCTGTTCTACACCGACCAGACACAAAGCGGGTCACGCTCAAACCCCCGGAGTTTGGTAATCAGGTTACACAAGAACCGATACGACACTTAGATATTTGACAAAAGGTCGAGAAGCGATCTGATACACGTTTGAGAAACGCTGCTATATAATATTACAAAAGGAACTTAAACTGTTTCAAAGTAGCCTAATTTGAAAAAGTGTGTTCAAATATGTTCTTAGCAGGATTTCGTAAAAAAAAAAAAAATTCCATTCCATAAAAGTGAGTAGACCTAAAGTTTTACACAATATGACCATATATTACATAGCCAAACAATAATCAAACAAAAAATAATAGTAGGCTATTTTATTAATTGAATGTAGTTATTTTATACAGTAAAAAAAATATCTTCATAACTCATCGTGACCCCTTTTTACATATCTGATAAACCACTGAATAATTATTTTTTTTAATATACTTACGATGACGTCATCAACTTCAGTGTTGTGCTTTCTGTCTCGCGATGATACGCTTTTATCGTCAAGTTCACTCATCGAGTCTTTCTTATGATTTTTTACTTCATTACTATCATGTGCATTGACGTCATGGCCATCTCTTTGATTCAGGAAATGAAATGCTAAAATCAGGATTACTGCCAGAGATATCAGACCCAAAGTTTTTACTCTTTTCGTGACGTAACCGGTGGGCACAATCATTTCTAGGCATTACTAGATCCAATGACCTGTATATTTGATAAATAACTGTATTTTTTAAATCTAAAAAAAATATATATTTTTTTAATGACTTTAGAACGAAGAAGTGGGTGGCCATGGGTAGTTAAGGGTATTCATTCTCAAAAAGACTCTTAAGATGTTGACATTTTTCCATTGGTGTCTAGACTGTTTTGTTGTGGAGATGAATGAAAAGACTATTAATGGATGGATTAGCAGATTATGTTGGTGATTTGATTATGAAAAAAAAAACACACACACACAAAACAAACAAAAGCAATAAACTTTGAAAAATACATCTCTGCATTTCAAATGACATTGCGCCCCGTCATTTTCGACGGGTGAAAGTGACGTAGTAGGCCAACTAAATTGTATTTTCGAAGAGATCATAGAGTTCCGTAACACATGCTTTAGATTGTTGGCAAAGATAGCGTGCGTGAAGGGGGGTAGTCTTCCCTAGTCTTCCCTAGTAACTCGGTGGGTGGCGGTCAGTAGGCCTACTTGTGAACAGGGGGGACATTAGACATGAGGTAGTCAGTTCATGTGGAATATAATGCGGTTAAGTCTGAAGGCCATACGAAGTGTATGAGGGGGGGGGGGAAGGGTTCAGTACCCAGGAACTGACTGAAAAAACTGGGATGGGAAAAAAAAAGGGGGGAGGGCTGTCATAGGCCATACGAAGTGTATGAGGGGGGGGGGGGAAGGGTTCAGTACCCAGGAACTGACTGAAAAAACTGGGATGGGAAAAAAAAAGGGTGGAGGGCTGTCAGTTCTGGTGGAAGGCTGTCAGTTCTGGTGAAGGGCTGTCAGTTCTGGTGGAAGAAGAACTGCAGAAGGGCGGAGGTCATAGTGATGGTCGTTGTGATAGTTGTGATGATAGTCATGGTGGTAGTGATCATGGTGGTATACAGAAGTCAAATCATGGGTGGAAAAAAAAGTGTGGCAAATCACACAAGATTCCCCCCCCCCCAACCTCCCCCCACCCTCATTAGTGGGGGTACATTTTGTGCAGTCCCCTATGTAATAGGAACCTGATTTTTCCGTTAACATAATATAGTCTAATAACTACCGCAACCTGTAAAGGGTGGATGGGAGGGGGGGGAGTCGTATGGTGATACCAAACTGTTGTAGTATTAAGATCGTACAGGGGAAGTTCTAAAATTAGATTTCAAATGCAGTTAACTAGATATTATAAAATATTTCAAAATCCAACGTTCCTGTGCAGAACAGCATAAAAGGCAATTTATTTATCGTTAAAAAAATTAAATAAATAAACATCCCTAGTTTTCCCAATCGCCACGTTTCAGACAAACTAAACTGGCCTAATGATGTCATAAAACTACGTCACACGCAAAATTAAAACACAAATAATAATGTAAATTGTACCATTCCCGAGGATTTTTCCCCACCATACTATTCACCTTTGCCTATTATTACATTTTGTGGCATAGCTAGGGGGTGCAGGGCTGCGGACCTCACTGGGTGACACCATCTCAGGGAGTGACACCAAATTGAAGAATTGCATATGTAAAGAGCACACACTGCTCATTAAAAGTTCAAGATCGATGCATGAGATTAAGATGACCACATAATGAGGTCAGGGGGGGAAAAAAAACACCATTTTTTACCATGATTCAACGCCGATTAAAGTGTTCGGTAACTTTCGTAAATGGCAGGAAGTTATATTTATCTAAATTCTGAGAAATAAAATGTTCCATTGAACCCAAATACGATGTCGTTGGGCGATTCTACAGTTCTTAAATTCATTTACCCCATGACCTTCAATTATTTTTTTTTTTAAATTCTTGTCATTGTTTTACTGTGGACTTATTATAACAAGAATAAATAAGTCGTGGGAGTCGGGTTTTGGGGGGGGGGGGTTGATACCACGAGTTTACCGCACTGGGTGACACCAACCCTAGCTACGCCCCAGCCACTGATTACATGTATGACTATGAGCACGATCATGAGAAAGCAAAATTATGGTTTACCATTGTTAATTTTTTTGACACCCATTGATTGCACCAAAACTATTTTTAATGTCATGATTTGAAGTGTCGTGGTTTTAAAATTTCATGATTTTAAATTTGAAAAAAGAATAGTCACGTTACATTCACAATGTCATAGTCATATAGAGTAATTTTAGTTTCACTTCTCTGTAATCGCACCCAATCATAAACGCCATGTAGCCTACTAACACTCACCCCCACCCCCCCTCCCATAAAATGGTGTGTCTAGTGCTCTCAATGAGTGGGCTGTTTAATGGTGTTATTTATGTTCAGCTAACGAACGATGCTGTGTCAAATGAACTAATAAGGGGAGATACCACATAGGGAAATCTGTCTAGACAAAATTGAAACAAATGTGTGTGGGGAGTGGGGCGCTATTCTCCTAGAACCTTCTCAACCTTCCCAATGCCGTGACCAGTTATTATTTCAGAAATTTTCTCCCGGGGGGCACTTCAGATTTTTCAGGGGGGGGGGTGGTGTCAGTTGATTTTCGTTGGACATGATTTTTGCTCCGGGGGACATTTGGCTTTCCCCTGGGGGTAGTGACCCCCCCCCCCGGCGATATNGGAAGCGGAAGAATGTTTGACCTCCGGCGGTTCACTGCCGAGGATGACCGGACCTGCCCGTGCCTCTTCTGTCTGAAATCGCACGCGCCCAGCCGAGAGTTCGCCGAGGTGTACGTCTTTACGGCGACGCACGTGGTCTTCGACACGGTCGAGGCCCGTAACACGCTGTGCTGGTTGTTCTACGACGACGAAACCGGCCCAGCGGTGACCATCGAGGGCCTGACGGTGGAGGAGACGGACGTGGAGAAAGATGGGTGTCGTCTAACCTGTGTGACGTGCGACAAAGCGCTCATCGAGAAGCTGTGCGCCATGGTCAACCGCCTCGGTGCGGTCTGGGAAAAGCTGAGGGACAGATACAAGGAAAAGATGGACGAGGCGAGGATAGCGATTATCGCCTCACACCCCCACGGTGGCGTCAAGTACGTCACCGTCGGCCGCTGGATAGACGTGGTCAAATGCGAAAAATACCGGAGCGTTTTCACGTACACGACCGACACGTGCCCGGGCAGCAGCGGGGCCGCAGTCTACATTCTAGGAAGTGATTGTTGGTATGACCATGTTCACAGCGGCGTCAGCGCAAACAAACGAAATTACAGCACTGCCGGCTGGGGTTAGGGAGCTTTTGTCTTTTATTAGTTGGGCGCATCCGTCCCGTCTCCAAAATAGGAGGGTGTCATCTTGCTGGAAGCTGACGAGCAAAACTCATCATCTAAAAACATAATTATCCTGATCTGGATCTTCCCACACCACATGGCGGCAGTGCCTCACGCACACCAGGGGATGCGGGAAACCCTGATTAAGAATCCTTGATTTAAAGTGAATTGTGACCCTTGTCACGTGCCGATATTTTTATGTTTTTTCCCCACAGTTACTAGTTCATGTTTTACAAAAACCACGTGTAACCGGACAACAACATTTTATCTTTAAAACATCAACATATTGTGAATTCCTCGTGCGTTTTACCACAAGCCCGTATTAGGATACTACCAAATTTTTCAGTTCGGTTAGTGTAATATTGTGCCTATTTTTAGCTTACGAAGACGTACAGGAGCATATTTCTTAATATTAAATATTATGTTATGCGAATAACGTGTGTGACTGGGTGGGGCTGTGTGAAAAAAATCCGCAGACTCCTCAGTCCTCACTCTCAGTCAATGATCAATGAATAGGCTTTAGACGTTATCGTCATGGCTTGGTAGTTTTGGCTAATCGTGTTGGTTCAGTACGCCATGAGTTTCGTGCATGTTTTCCATACCAATCACAGTTTAGTTCTGTTTGAGCCTAATAATTCACTTATAAATAATGAAAATATTTAAAAATACGACTCCTAAGTACAAATTGATAAATACTGATAGTGATACTTACTAAGTTTACTAAGTAAAATAAGATAAACTTAAAAAATATAGATTTTTAGGCTGCTATATTATATAGGCCTACTATTGACTATACTGACTATACTATTAGTATTAGTAGGCCTATATGTAGGCCTACTATCAGTATCCTTTTCAGTTTTCTTCTATACCCTGCCCTCTGAGCCTCTCTAATAAGTCTGGCACTCCCAGCTAACCAGCCTGTGGTGTTCAGTGGGTGCAAGGCTTGGGAATTTAAATTATGGCATTAATTTAAATATAAATGAATAGGCCTAATAGGCCTAAATTCTAAATGTAAAAAAAAATGTTCATGGATTTAAGACTATTTCTTCATTAATATTTTTTTATTTGGTAAATATGAAAAGATAGCACCGCGTTTTTTTACTTTAGTTGCCTCAAACTTGTGTCCTAAATGTGTCCCTAAACCTAACCTGAACCCTAAATCTATCCCTAAACTTATCCCTAACCTGGGTTTTGACCCTATTGGAACCAGGGTTTTGACCCTATCGGAACCAAGGTGCCATCTCTTCACATTAGCCAAATATTTTCCTCTATGTTTTAATTCACAATTTTATATTGAAAGTTCTACATTCTACAGTTTTCTTTGCAATTCAAATTGAATAAATAAATTAGAAGTAATAGAAGTCAATTATTTTAAAATGTACTGTTACTTTTTTAGGGGTAGGAGACTTGGTAAATAATGTGTGGGAAGTGTAAGACTAGTCAAATATTTTGTAAGATTAAGATGTGTGGAGCAAAGAAAAGGTTGCAAAATATTGGTATTTACTATATCATAACTTAAAGTAAAATTACTCAAATGTCCTCTTTGTTCTTATAGGCATATGCCTTCTCAGTTTTCCTTTCACTCCCTGAAATGCCACCTCACACCCCTGCCCTTGCCCCCCAGTTTGGGAAAGCCGGATGTATATATAGGCCTAGGCCATAACCTGTTAACTAATACTCATACTTCTAATCCCTCACTTGCCCTAAGGTGTCACAATGTGTAATAAATCATTCATTCAGAATAATAATTAATAACAGACCTAACATTAAAACCCATTAGTAATGTTGGATTGTTGGGCCTACATTAGAAAATGACAATAGCCGTTTCTAGCAATACGTAATATTAATGCAATGGCATAACTAACTCAAACTGACCTCAGTAACTGTAACTTAGAGTAACACAGTCTACCATAGTTTCTGTTTAATGATGGTCATTTTGTTATGAAATATAGAAATATATATGCCTAGCCCAGTGGTTTTTAACCTGGGTTTGATCGAACCCCAGGGGTTCAGTCTCAGGGGTTTGGCGGAGGTCCAAAAAAAATCAGAAAAAAAATCATATTTTATTTTTCCTATTAAGAAGGGTTCGGTGAATGAGCATATGAAACTGGTGGGTTTCGGTTCCTCCAAAAAGGTTAAGAACCACTAGCCTAGCCTATAGTCTGCTATAAATTGATTGTCAAACTCAAACGAGTCAAAGATTGATTGAGAAATAGGCATATATTGCTATAATATTATTAGTAGGCCCGATAGAGCCATATCATTTACTGAATTACCTCAGCTGAATGGAAATAAGGCTATGTAACTCTATAATAACTAAATCTTTGGATCCACAGTGGCTTAGGCCTACTGCCTGCTTATTTCTTAACTAAAAATTAAGAAACATCTTTGTGTAGATGTTATGACGTTATGATTGTATTTTGTTTTCAAACAATATTGTATCTTAAGATTGATGATTGTGTATATAAAAAAAAACTTGAGCATGGCTAAGACTTATTTTGTGTTTGTGGTCTTTTTAAAAAAGTTATGTCTTGGATTTAACCTAGAATTAACAAATAATTTAAAAAGTAAAATGTTATTCACTTTAGATAAAATCTAAAACTAATTAAAATAAAACAGTAAATAAATAATGAGTTTGTGGTATTTAAAGATCTTCTATCCTTCATCTACATAGGAACTACATATAGCAATCGAAAAGAGAAAGACCTTGACAAAGATATCATACTCACTGTAGTGTATGAGTATCCTGTTATAGTGAATTTCACAGTTACACAGTGACCGATTGGTGAAGTGTTGACCTATCTTTTACCACTTGGCTGAAATATACCTACTTCACTTTGCTGCTTCTCTACATTCACAGGGGAGAGTGGGGGGCAGAAATACTACATTTGCGCTGTGTGCCCTCAAGACGAAATGTGAGTCAATATTTTTGAAATTATTCATATTCAGCCTTGGAATGCTGGGAGTTACCAATAAATTTTTTAAGCTTAAATAATACCGGTAGTGAATAAGTCAAAAGTCTAAGTGCATACTTATACTTATAGGCCTAATATTATTTAGTAGTCGTCTTAGTATTTAGTTATATAAATTATAATTATAGTAAGGGAAGCCCCCACCTTTTTTTTCCCTTTTTTCCTCTCTAATTTGCTGTTACACAACCACTTGTGGAAAACTTTCAGAAGCAATTTTAAACAATTGAAGACATAGCTCTCATTAATTATGTCTTGATCCATCCCTGTTAAAGCATGGCAACAAATTCAGATTAGCTTTTGTTATGTAGCATCATAGATTTCAAGAGGCTTTTATGACAGCAAAAATGGGGCTCTATATGCCTTTTTTATGTTATTTTTAGATGGATCTATACAAATAAAAGTCCCCCATCATTTTTAAATTGCCCGTCAGCCAGCCTTTGGGAGGGATGCACACGCTTGAGTAACAATACAGTGCTTCATAACTTTGTGGAGAACTTGGTTGGATCTCTCCTGTTTTTTTCCAAAGATGCAGATTGTGCAATTACATTTAATTTTGTTTGGGGTTGAAAGATGAAGTGAATATAGTACTTCTAGAAACTTCACTATTCCTATGTCTCACATCATTGCCATTTGGGACTCAGTTTGAGAACCCCTAGTTTTAAAGGTTGCTATTGGGAGGGGTGTAGTATTGATTCTACCCTCCTCGTTTTTGTTTAGTGGGAATATTGGCTATAAATTTTTCATCAGATGCTAGGAGTGCATATTGTTGAATTGAGTGACTGCTTCTCAAAGGGTTAGGGCCATTATTGATTGCTTTATAGGAGGCTCACAATGTAAAAACTATATTACTTTCTGCAGGGCTTATGAATCTTTTGTGCGTCATTTATCATTTTTTTAAAAGACTCAGTTGATCTTATGAGTCACAACCAATGTAATAAATATTAGGCTGAAGTTTTGAAAAGTAATGTATTCATGGATGTATCCTGAACCAATGTTATATTGGGGAGCTGCCTGTTTAAAAATTTGAGGACCTTGAGGAAGGTACTCACAAATAAAGGCACCATTATTTTTATTGCAGCAGGTGAGAAATTTACATCCTTTTGTGTGTTACTTTCACCAGCTGTGCCCTGATAAAGTTGTAACGAGGTGAAGTTACTGATAGTGAACATTTTCTAGAGCGCACATGTACGCCTTAAGCAAACTTGGGAAACTTTTAGCTATTTACCAATTATCAAGCTTTATTTAACTTCTTGTAAAGGTAATTCTTGTGTGTGTTGGTCTTTTTATAGCTGCATATTACAGCTAAAATACACCAGATTGTAAACAAATAGAATTTCGTTGGTGAATTATTATGAAATATCTTTCAGACTAGTTTATAACTAATAGCATGAACGGTATCAAAGAAGGATGGTTTAGCGAAATCAGTGAACTGTGGCCAGGGCAGTGCATGTCTCTAGAGGTGGACAAAGTTCTTCATCATGAAAAGTCCAAGTATCAGGATATTTTAGTCTTCAAGAGGTGAGAATTTTTTTTATGTAATGCTCTAGGCATTTTCATCTTGTGTGGATAACTTCTAAAGTAAACCTCCTCTCCTGTTGCTAATTGTTAAACCTTGTAACATTATTTTGTTTTGTATGTAACATTAATTTGTTGGGTATATAACATTTTGTTGTATTTGTAACATTATTTTGTTTGGGTATATTGATGCCGTAAGGGTAAGTAGAGACTGATTTCTTTTATTAAAAACTCTTCAAAGCTTTGATAGTAAAACAAAAATGATGGAATATATCTTTTTTGGCATGTTTTTTTAAAGAAACTGAATAATTATACAAAAGTTAGGTTTTGTCTAGATTGGTACTGGCTAACCTGTTGGAACTGTTAATAAATTTGGCCCACATAAGCTTCAAGATAAATTTGCCTAAGGATACCCTGTAATCAAACTTTGGGCTAAAACCTAATGTTCCTAAGTTTGCATCCCACTGGTTGAGATGTTTATAAGTGCAAGCCAAAAATATTAATTAAAAATATGTTCATTAAATTCACATTGGCCAAAAAAGTCTTTAAAAAAAAAAATATATTCTACAATAATAATTTTATATATATCTATATATAGGGCTGGAAATGCTGACCCATAAGAGTTAGTGATACACATTTTAACACATACTAGGCAATCATGTCAAGTGTGTTATGACTATAAGAACTACTGATGGGAGACATTTGAAGTACATTTATTATTTTATATACCTCTTGCATAGCAAGACAGAATTGTGTAAAATAAAGTCTGGCCAATCATGTTTGATTAGGTCATGTGGAGAGTTTTGGCTTTGGGCAGCCATGATAAAGATGTTGAAGTGAAAAGAGTTGTGAATATATTACAGGACTTGAATGATACAGGAATTGAATGATTTAAATGAAGTGAGAAAGAAATATTTCAGGATTTAAAGTGTTACAGTTAAATAACCTCGTTAAATTACTAGAAAATATGACCCAGTGTTACGGGATAATAATGGAAGGCATATTGCACTAATCTCCACCTTTTCTTGCGAAGTCTCTACATCTAAAAATCCAATTTTTATGATCGTAAATGAGTTTGGTTTTGATGTATTGCATCCTAAGAAAAAAAACAAAAAACCATGATCATACATCTAAAAGAGTAGAATAACTGTTACATAACTCACCAGAACAAGGCGCATAGGAATTATATGTAGATGCTTTGAGGATGAGATTTAAAGCTCAGGGATAGGGTGAGATTGAAACACTGATGACACAACACATTCATTCATTACCATTAGACACTTTTAGCCCTTCACGAATTGACATTTGGTTGATACATCCCATCCCTGCAGTCTGATAACACAATCAAACCAAAGAATGGTCTGTATTTCTGTCAGTCACACACTGCAGTGCTATCAGTACTGGTGTCCAAGGCTAATCAATCGGTGACCTCTTTATCAACTAATGGCTATCATTTGATAAACAACTTATCAAAATTTATTCAAATTAACTATTACATCATACATAAATTAGTACTAAAATTTAAAATTAGCTTTGAAATTCAGATAAGTTGTATTATTTTAGCATTGTACTTGTATAAAGAATAGCTAATGGGCTCCCCTGCACATTTTCATTTAGAAAATAAAATGAAACAAGCTGTGTGCAACTTAATTTATGTGTGATCCATAGTAGCAAATTTGTATTTTTGATTAGAACATTGGTGTTGCTATGGACCAATCAATCCCCCCCCCCCCCCCCCCAAAATATAAAAAAAACAACTCTGCAGATGTTGCCTCTTAATATGTAGCAAGGATTTTTTACCTTTTTGCATCCACCTGTTTCAAAACATACATCCCTGACCACAGGGATTAAAAGTGCTAATAAACACGATTTACTGTGTCCTCCCTCACCCCATGACAGTGTCGCTGCTCTGCCCCACCTCCTCTGTCCCACACTTCCTTTACTTGTGAATCTGAGAGTTTGCAACCTGAAAGGGATGTCATTTTTGCTGCTAATATTTTGATTAATATTTTTGCTCTCCCATTTTGCAGTAAAACTTTTGGTAATGTGCTGGTCTTGGATGGGGTCATTCAGTGCACAGAAAAGGATGAGTTCTCATACCAGGAGATGTTGGCTCACCTGCCTCTGTGTTCTCACAAAAACCCCAAGAAGGTAATCAACTAATTATTTCAGATTTAACTTTCACCTGCTGTGAGGAAAACGAAACATATTTTTTGGTTTTGTTTATTATGGTCAAAGGAAATAGTTTATTCCAGTTCAGTGTAAGATATCATTCAACAGTAACAGAAAATCTGTTGATTTTATTTTAAAAATAATTCTTATCACTATTTTTTTGTTTCTTCATCTCCATGTTCCTTTGTGTGTTCAAGTTTAAACCATGTTTCATTTATCTGTTTTGCAAATCAAAATATTATTTAATATAATTGGTATTAGTAGTTTTTAAACATTGAATTTCAAAGTAATGGTAAACAACTAATTTCACATCCAGGTACTCATAATAGGAGGGGGTGATGGCGGCGTGGCAAGAGAGTTGCTGAAACACGATTGTTTAGAAGAGGTCCATATGTGCGAGATAGATGAGGTAAGCATCATTGGATATAAGCACTTTTCTTGATTTCATCATGATTTTCCCTTTTAAAAAAATTCACCCAAAGATTTTTTACTGCCAACTGTTTCATTATTAATTTTTCTCACACAAGACATGAGTGTTGTCTGTGTTGGATGATAGATTATCAATCATGGAGAGGTTAAATTTTAGTCTGGCAATTCATTTTAGGCTTTCAATATTATTATTCCAATATTCCAAATACATAACCTTTAATTAAAGCAAGAGCTGTTAATATGCCAGTGTTGTAACATTATTTGGCACGGAAAACTGTTTGTTGTTCTAGGCTGTGGTTGAGGTCAGTAAGAAATATCTGCCAGGCATGGCCAGCAGCTTTTCCAACCCAAGACTGACCCTGCACATCATGGATGGGTTTGAGTACATGGGGCAGCACCAAGGGGAGTTTGATGTCATCATAACTGACTCCAGTGATCCCATTGGTGGGTTTTAATGGATTTATGTTACAGTACATCTGTTTGGTGGGTTTTATTGATTTATGTAGCAAACAAAATGGCGGGATCGTTGAATTATTTAACAATTGATAGGTGGTAGCTATTGTTTTAAAAATGTTAAGTTTCTTCTCTTCATGTACAGGGGTTGTTAATGAAAATGTTGACAAATGAACCCAGATCCAGTTTTGTTGTTATGCAAATGTTGACATTTCAAATGACACCTGTCTTTCCCACAGGACCTGCTTCGTCATTGTTTCAGAAACAATACTATGAGTTGATGAAGAAGGCACTGAAGCCCAATGGTATTGTGTGCAGTCAAGGTGAGGGATAGACAGGCTTTTCATGTTGTTAAATAGTGAACTGAACATCACACTTGTGAACATCAAGAACTTTTGTCAGCATATGTTTTAACTCATTCCCGGCGGTTGCGACGAAATGCGTCCTTTGGGGGATTTGACGGATGCGTCCAAATGCGTCTCGGTGCATAGCGACACACCTCTTATTTTTAGTTTAAAATAGCAATGAAATCTCGCGTCCCTCGAGACTACTGGCTATGGCGTGATTTCTACTATATGTAGCATGTGTTCGTCCGAGGTGCCAAAAAATCTATATTTTGGAGATTATTCATTATTTTTTCGCCGCTAATGTTATATTTTTATTAAATCTTATTCATTTTTTGAGGCATTCGTCCTTAATTCATTAACAATTACTATTAATTAGCAGCTTAAAAAATATTTTTAAAAATGTAAATCAATTTCAAAACTGAGTTGCTTCCCTTATCTCAGGAAAATAAATAAGTACGGAAGTAGCACTGCCGGAGGAAATGAGTTAAGACATCTAAATCTGCTATACAGTTTGTTACATTTGACACCTGCCTGGTACTTTTGTGCACATTTGATGGAGTTCACTTGTGATGTTAACTCCCACGTCTTAGTTGGCTGCTGTCTTACCACTTGTGTGATTGAGTTCTTATTTTGACTCAGGGGTTACCCACCCCCCCAAGAGTAGCTGCCTGGCTGGGCTGACAAGTCTTATTTCCTGAAGTCTCGTGAAATATTTAGTGTTTATCCATGACCTGCTGGTGGTCAGTTTCATCAGCTTTTTTTGAATGATTGGTGTACAAGTTGATGTTTTAATACTTGTGTTTCTCTTAAGTTGTGTACATTTTAAACAAGCCACAGCTGAATCATTAACTGTTGACATATTCAATTCTGACTCTAGGCTACTGTTTAAGTACCTGTAGGCTCTTCTTGTACACTGAGGGAGGATTGTGTTTCCTCTGTTTTGATGACGATATTGTTGATCTGTTTCAGGAGAGTGCATGTGGATACACATGGATCTCATCAAGAGCATGCTGGATTTCTGTGTCACCTTGTACCCATCGGTGTCGTACGCGTACACATCTATACCGACATACCCCTGTGGCCAGATTGGCTTTGTTTTATGCAGCCTGGACCCGGTCAGTTGGTCGTCTTTTGTTTTTAGTGATAAGTGTAGAGGGTCAGAGATGACCTATCAGTACGTCGGTGATGACCTATCAGTATGTCAGAGATGACCTATCAGTATGTCAGAGATGACCTATTGGTATGTCAGTGATGACCTATTGGTATGTCATTGATCTATTGGTATGCCAGTGATAACCTATCTGTATGTCAGAGATGACCTATTGGTGTGTCACTGATGACCTATCGGTATGTCAGAGATGACCTATTGGTATGTCAGAGATGACCTATTATGTGTCAGTGATGACCTATTGGTATGTCAATGATGACCTATCGGTATGTCAGAGGTGACCTATTGGTATGTCAGTGATGACCTATCAGTATGTCAGAGATGACCTATTGGTATGTCATTGATCTATTGGTATGTGAGTAATGACCTATCTGTATGTCAGAGGTGACCTATTGATACTTCAGGATTAACCTGTTATGTCATGAATTCCATGCTCTAATGTCAGTGATGATCTTTTGATGTGTCAGGGAAGACCCAAACTTTGTTCACCATTTCTCTGTCTGCATGTTTCAGGAAGTGGACTTTGAAAATCCACTTCGTCCTTTCTCCACGGATGAACTGAAAGAGCTGAATATGAAATACTACAATACAGACATGCACAAGTCTGCTTTTAAGTTACCAGAATTCGCTAAAAAGGTAAACTGCTGCTATTTCTGCATGCACAAATGAACCAACATGAAGCTAAGTAAATTAATCAGTTTAATAATAGTTTATAGAATTAGGTAATTTGATCAAATCACAGTAAAATGGGACATTGTTCACATTTTTTTTCAAAGATTTAATATTTGTTAGTGAACAGTTTTATATCTGAGATAATTTTCATTCTTTGCTTTAGTACAATGAATCAAATTGCGTTTGGTAGAAAATGTTTAAATTCCTCTTGTTTAATTAGTTAATCAGGCTTTAAAAAAAAAAACCCAGTCTCCTCCAAGCTTGGATTTATGTTGCAAGTGAATGTTTCATTGAAATGGACTTGGTGACTAATTGTTAGGAATGAAAGATTCACCTGCAGATACGCCTGCTGTAGGGCAGATCTCAGTAAACCTTTTTTTTTATTTGAGAGACACCCTAGATCTTTCTTAGATTTGCACAGCACAAGTAAAATCTGGCAAAATATACTAAAAAACATAATGTAGTTCATTCATAACGTTGTGTAATGCTAAAAGGTATAAGATGACAGTGTATTGGTCTATATTAATTGTCTGTATTGGACACAATTGTGTTTTCACAGGGTTTGACAGTGTCCATTTGTAGCAACAAGCTATATTTATCTACCTACTAATACTTTGGGCTTTCCTCCTCTTGGAAGCTTTTGCACGGCACATCTTGGATCACCTCACGGATTACCAGTGTGCAGCGACACACCCATTTTTGCTTTAGGGTTACATGCATTATCATAAATGTCTCCTTTGAGTTGTTCCTTGTCAGACATTGTGTATTACTATTATACACCGGAGCAGAGCAAGAGTAACAACTCCAGAGCCTGGCCCAGACAGGAACAAGTTTAGATTGACCGTTTCACTCAGAACAATTATTTAAACTCCTTCTTTCTGTGATACTTAATTTTCCAACACTTAAAATCTAAAACAAGTTTGCTCAAATGTATCTTTTTTTTTATATGATTAAGGTCCTCAAGTGCCGTAAGTCCAGCACCAGCAATGGATGTTGAAGTGAGTGGCTGTAGGAACAAGTCTCTTGTGTGGTCAAGTCTGTGGCTATAGGTCCAAATCTCTTGTGTGGTCAAGTCAGCCAAGGTTTTCCTTACAAAGTCTACACTTTTATTACTGCCTTTCTTGTTCAATTCAATTTTTCAATTTAACGAAATTCTCTCTGTGTGAAATAAAATTTATTTACTGATTGGTACCTGTAAAGAATCAACTTGGCCGTTTATGTTTTAAAAGTCACGATATCCGTGAGTTCTTGACTAAATGTGATTCACCAAAAACCTGTGAAAAGTGCACAAAGTGATTGGAGCGCCCGCTGGGTTGTGGTGATGTCTGTCAGTCTGGGTGACCATTTATTTCAAATAATTTAAAACCAGAACTTTTAAAGTTTTCATATCATAACGGGCACATTTATTATTTTTTGGGTTCTCTTCTCTTCTGTCAGAAAATAAACAATTATTTGAGGTTACACTAACAACTCTTCTGTCTTTTTAAGATACTACTATTGAGAGGCCAATTAGATGAAATATATTTTTGCAGTGTTATTTATTGATTTTTTGAGTTTATGCATTTATTTGATAAATTAAACATTTTTTATTCTGAAGTCTTAAAAGGGGCTCTTAAGATCCACCACTAGCCAGGACTAATATCCCAAAAAACAGAACTGTGTTGGTAACAACAGTACGAATGGTAACCTAAGTTTAAAGCCGACTATAGGTACTTGTTGGAGATGATGTGGGAAATAATTTAGTGAACTTCAGTTGCGTTTTGGGAGTACCAGCAAAATCACTTGATATCAAATCTATTCAGTTGTACATGATTGTGTTAATTGAACTGTCCCTAGTCAACAGCTATTTTTACCTTCATTTACAAGCATTTAACCCAGTGGTTCTCAAAACTTTTTCCGGCCACCGCTCCCTTTGGACCATAAACTCACCCTGAGCGCCCCTTGTCTCATCCCATTATAAAATTATAAGCATGCTCAGCATAAAATTGTGCTCGACCATTTGTGGTTAATTATTCAACAATTAAATGTAAAATTGGAAATAAATTTGAACATCTGATCAACATACAACTGAAACTTTTTACTTCCACATTCATTCATTAAATAATATGATTAATTTGATTAAGCGATAATAATTGTTAAGTGTGGTTTTAGATATCTGGCTTTTTTTTTGGTAAGTTATTTTTAATGCGATTGGATGCATAGGCTTGGTAAAGAAACATACGTTTTTTTTTATCACTATCTTACTTTGTTGACTGTGTTCATATTTATATGCTGAATTCTTACCTGGAGCAAAGCGGGATGGCCGCAATAAAACCACCTTCCACCAGATACAATGGTGAGAAGGAAAAAAGTCACTTTGCGGCAATCTTCCACACATCATATGATTACAGATATAGTGTGGCCAAATCTAAAAGAAAATTCTAATATTGCTAAAACCATCTTCCGTAGAAAATTTGAATGGTCGCAAAGTAATTCCCAGTACACATCTTTTAAGGCCAATTTTGTATTTGAATAGTTACTATTAAAATCCAAATGAAGAGGAGCTGATTTGGTATTTAGAATATTGATCTCAATCACCTGCACTGCAAAGTGACTTTTATTGACTTGAGCAAATATTTCTCATTTGGCAATCTTATTTGTAATGTCTTCAGTGTCACTACCAAGATTTTAACATTTATGCAAAGAGCGTCAGAATGAAGAGACAAACTCTGGATCGTTTTTAAGACAGAACGTCAGAAATAGAGTGTGCTTTATTTTAAATAAATGCAGTAATAGCCAGAGTTTTTTTTAGCAACCAGATGCTGGTGATGAATGGTACAAAAACAGTAAAGAAATTTGACATAATAAACAAAAAAACGGTTGCGGTCAGTCATGGATAGTTGCATGGATCAATTGCACCGTTTGTATATTATGCAATCAGCTGTCATTTCCTTGTCATGGAAGAACTGCTCTAAAACACGTAATACTGCTTCCTGCCAGTGCCCCCCAAAATATTCCAAGCCTTTCAGTGCCCCCTTTGAGAACCACTGATTTAATCTTCTCTTTTTCTACATTTCATTTTTTTTTACCTCCTTTCCAAAGATCTTACCAAATTTATTGGGATATAAAAATAACTTGTGATGAGTCGGCATCCTGATGTTTTGGTGATTCACCCTTTTATGAAAAATTCAATCATTTTGGTTGGTTGTGGCAGGTCAGCGTAGTTGATGCTATGTGGATACATTCTTTGACATAGTCATCTTTAAAACAGGATGTTTGAACTTTTTAAAATTTGTAGAAAATTATTGTTCACTAGCTGGGGCAATGCAACCAATGTTGCATGTGGAAAATACTAGAGGAGGTTCATAATCTATAATAATTATTCCTGATGGCACTCCATATATCCCCATGCTCAGTTGTGTTTTATTTTGTGTGCATCTGGTTCCTACATGATGCAGGGGAACCAACAAATAAGAGTGCAGCACTGTGCACAATGAGAGCCGGGCAGACAAGAGAGATCCACTCTGGAACTATTATGATAATTTCTCCTACTTCAATCATTGAATTGTTAGTGTGGAACTGGCTATTGCATTCATGCTTAATTGTCTATTCTTATGTTCATGAGGGAACAGTTATTTTAATGTTCACAGGGAACTTAGCTATTATGTTCACATTAAAATCAAATGCTATCGATTTCTCTTTGTTTGTGTTTATAACTATGTGCAATTTTTAAAAACTTATGTTTATAAAATTTATTGAAATCTATTTATGAAAGATAAATTTGTATAAGAAATAAATTTAACAAAATAAATGCCTTTTTGAAAACGTATTAAAAAAAAATTATCTTTGTGTCCTATTTAGAATTGGTGTTTTTGTTCATTATATTAAGAGGGCATTTGAAAAACAAAAGAATGTTCTTTTAACTATAAGTAAGTAAGTTTCTGATTGATTTAAGTAGGTCACATATCAATTGATAACATATCTGGATTGTTCTGTCTAAATTCAAAACCTTTTAATTTAGAGCTATATCAAGATTCACATTAAAATAAAAATATAAAATTAAAAAAATTATCCATTCAGGAATTCAGCCAAAGAATTGCCTAAAATATTTAATTGGGTAGATAGGAAGGTAATGCGTTCAATTAGGGATCACTTCTAATTTACCAGTGTAAGTTGCTTGACAAAGAACATTCTTGTCATCATGCAGCAGGGGTTCTTAACCTTTTCAGTTCCACGGCCCCTTGGCAGTCAGATTAAGGCCAAGGACTAAACTTTATATGCATATAATAAAAATTAAATGCATCTCACTCACAGATAGCCCCCCCCCCTTGCCCCAGTACCCTTTTCATGGATCCCCAAGGGGTCTGTGTACCACGGGCTAAGAACCCCTATGTTACGAGTTTTTATTTAGTGATTTCAAATCACACCACATGCAAACAATGCACTAAATGTTATAGTTGATGTTAAATATTGGTTTAATGTGCTAAAAAATAAATGTGTATTCTTAGTCAACTTGCTGAATCTAAGAAGTTAAGAGGAATAAATACTTTTACATATTAGGGTTTTCCTAGTAGGACGCATTCAGGTAGTGGTGGACACATTCCTGTTGTGTAGGACACATTCAAATTTTGAATGAACAAAAATATGTGGCAATGAAATTTGTTGCACAAAATGTTTTTAAAAATCAAATGTTAATTCCACATAATTTGTTCACTCTTCAAATAGTCACCATTTATTTTTTCCTTCACATCTGCTTTGTAGAATTTTTTTTTCCACGTATAATGTATGCATTTATATTTTTCAAAATTTAGCTATAAAGTTGCTGCAAATGTGTTAAAATATTAATTTTATTTGTTCATATGATAGGCTTTGAATGGTTTGTATTTCCCTCACAATACTGCTGACTAAGGTCATGCGCAGCATCCTGCTGACTAAGGTCATGCGCAGCATCCTGCTGACTAAGGTCATGCGCAGCATCCTGCTAAGGTCATGCGCAGCATCCTGCTGACTAATGTCATGCGCAGCATCCTGCTGACTAAGGTCATGCGCAGCATCCTGCTGACTAAGGTCATGCGCAGCATCCTGCTGACTAAGGTCATGCGCAGCATCCTGCTAAGGTCATGCGCAGCATCCTGCTGACTAAGGTCATGCGCAGCATCCTGCTGACTAAGGTCATGCGCAGCATCCTGCTGACTAAGGTCATGCGCAGCATCCTGCTGACTAAGGTCATGCGCAGCATCCTGCTGCCTAGTTCATGTGCAGCATCCAACTTTTAAAAAATTAAGATTCCCAAACAAAGCCTTTTATGGTGCTGAACATACTGCAAAATAATTATCACAGCATTATCAATATTAATGTATGTTATTAACAATTAAGAAAATATTTTGTATCCCTGTATATTTGTTAAAATTGAACTATCTAAACGTGTAAAAGTTAATGGAAGTCTTGCCTTACATCTTTACACCAAGTGCAAAAGTTACGGGAAGTCTTGCCTTACATCTTTACACCAAGTGTAAAAGTTAAGGGAAGTCTTGCCTTACATCTTTACACCAAGTGTAAAAGTTAAGGGAAGTCTTGCCTTACATCTTTACACCAAGTGTAAAAGTTAAGGGAAGTCTTGCCTTACATCTTTACACCAAGTGTAAAAGTTAAGGGAAGTCTTGCCTTACATCTTTACACCA